GCCTGAAATGTAGGCGGCGCTCAATACTTACTTTCTGAATTAATGTTTAATGACCTCCACTAAGGAAGGATGAAAGCACAGTGGAAAGAGCCCAGGTTTCAGAGTCAGACAGACCTGGATTTGCAACTTTCCAGCTCTACCATGTATGCTGGCAATCTGCAAGCCACTTTACCCATCTTAGCCTCAGTTTCCTCATCTATTAGGTGGAGATCATAACACCCACCTCGAAATGCTGTTGGAAGCAACAGATGGAAATTATATGTAAAGCCTTTAATTCAGTCCATGGCAAAGAACACTTCTTGTTTTTAGTTCATAAATACTTGTTTAGCACTTACTGTATACCAGACACTTCTCAAATATGGTAGGGGAGGTCCTATATCACAATTAGTCTTAATTCTTATAATGACCCATTGAAATAGGTTCTATTTAACCCCTTTTGCAATGGAGGAAATGGAGGCACACAAAAGAAAAGCAACTTGCCCAACATCTGATATTATCACCAAATGGCAGGGACAGGATTCATATCAATTTCAAAGTCCAAGATCTGAAGTGCTACACTTTTCCTTCTCTAAAGCAATCAGTCAATGAATGCTATCTCCTGTCCCTACCATGTTTTGATGATGGGAGACATGTGACTACTAGACCAGGGTTTTTAGTTGCCACAGGCATTCCTGGTGCAGCTGCTGTGGGAAACAGTATGGAGGTTCCTAAAAAAATAAAAAATGGAACTGCCTTATGACTCAGGGATCCCACTTCTGGAAATATATCTAAAGTAACCTGAAACACTAATTCAAAACTTATATGCACCCTATGTTCACTGCAGCATTATTTACAATAGCCAAAATTTGGAAGTAGTCCAAGTGTCCATTAGTAGATGAGTCGATAAAAAAAACTGTGGTAGCCATGCCAGTGTGGCTCAGTGGTTGAGCATCAACCCATGAACCAAAAGGTCACCAATTCCATTCCCGGTCAGTACACATGCCTGGGTTGTGTGCCCAATCCCCAGTGGGGGGTGTGCAGGAGGCAGCCACTTGATGATGTTTCTCTCTCATTGATGTTTCCATTTAACTATTCCTCTTCCTTCCTCTTTTTCTAAAAATCAATAAAAACATGTTTAAAAAATTTTTTTGTGATAATTTGCACAATGGAATATTATGCAGCCATAAAAAAAGAAGGAAACCTTATCTTCTGTGACAGCATGGATGGATCTGGAAATTGTTATGCTAAGGGAAATAAACCAGTCAGAGAAAGACAAATACCATATGATTTCACTTATATGTGGAATCTAATGAACAAAATTAATAAACAAAATAGACTCATAGATACAGAGAATAGGCTGACAGCTGGGGGGGGGGGGACTGTATGAAAAAGGTGAAGGGATTAAGCATAAAAAGAAACTAAAACAAAACAAAACAAAAACCCTCACAGACACAAACAACAGTATGGTGATTACCAGAGAGAAAAGGGGGAAGGGGGAACGACAAAACAGAAAGGTAAAGGGGGAGATAAACGATGATAGAAGGAGACTTTACTTGGGGTGGTGAACATACAATTTACAGATGATGTGTTACAGAATTGTACACTTGAAACCTATATAATTTTATTAGCCACTGTCACCTCCAATAAATTCAATAAAAATTAAAAGAAGTAAAACTAGAAAGAAAAGGAAAGGAAAATACAGAGAAAAAAGGAGAATGAGTATGCATCCTCCTCCTAATTACCCCTAATTACAACTGTCTATATAGGGTGCCCAAGACAGAAGTAATCTGTCCACATGATGACCAACCATATAAAGACTCAGCTTCCCCACAGACAAGGGAGCAGAGAAGGAAGTCAGCTTTTTGATGGCCCAAACCTCATCATAGAGAGAGCTTTTGGTTCTTCCCGTCTATAAGATTGCATTTGCCCTACTGCCAACCACAGAGGAAATTTCATTACTAAAATAAATCAGTGCTGCACTTGACCTTGCTTCTCTCATGGCTCTGGATTAGTGACATCACAATGTACTCTACAAACGCTCAGAAATATCAGAATAGCCCCCTCAAGTCAAAAACACTTGGTATTCCACTAAAAGGCATTAAATTATTTTGATTTTACTCCATGGAATCCAAAATGCTTTCAATATTTTCATTTACAAAATGCTTTAGAGAGAAAGTATGCAACTCTGGACCTTAAGAAACCTCGACTCCTGGTCTGGTTTGTGTTCTTATTCACTTATGGTAAGATGGGGAACAGGCCGCAAGCCAAGGAACAGTAGCTCTGGCCCACAGTGCTCACATGACTCAATCCCCAAGTGGCTGGGGCCTCACTGTGGAGGCTCCCCACTCAACCTTTTCTCGTCCTCAAAGTCATGAGCAGGTCACAGGCAGCTCCAGGGCAGCTCCTCTTAAGGGGTCCAGGATCCATCTCCCATGGCCTGGCTAACTATCATATTTCCTTCCAAAGTAGCAGAAGCAAAGCTTCTCCATTCTGAAAGGAAGCTCAGGGGGAATGCTTTCTCTCCAAGGCAAATGCATGGAGTGCAGAGACTTCAGGACCACTGCGGCAAATGCATCTCCTGCACCCCCATCTCAGGACACACAACTCTAATGCTGCTCGCTCAAAAAGATGACCCATTGTTAAGTCAGGTTGGTCACCAACACAATCAATAAATGTAAGGCTGATTTGTGCGGGTGCGGGTGTGGGTGGGGGAGGGGGAGAGGGTATTATCCATACAGAGCATGTGCTCTCAAGAAGCTTTCAGAATCTGATGGCTATGGGTATTAAGGATGTGTTTCCACAAGTAGCACCTTGTTTTTCAATGAACTGACTGAGATACAAGTCACAAAGTCACAGTATCACAAAATGCCAAAGTACCAAGGACCCATGGACATCATCTACTCTCCCCCCCCCCCCCGTCTCTCTCTTAAACGGGGGGGGGGGGGGGGGGGGGGGGGCTGAGACACAGACCAAAGGTAGGCTTGTTTGAGTTCACTGTCGGTAGATGACTCAAATCCAAAACGTCTCACCATTCTACTTCCTAACCAGCTGCCCCTGACATCCAATTATCAACAAGTGCTCTTACACTGTTATTTTCACACACACAAAAAGTATATTTATGATGAGGTTATCAGCAAAATGTTTAAATATAGCATGGTTGGTACCTAAAAAATGCACTCAAAAGGAGAAAACAAAATTGAAGTTGAAAAGATAAACTTTTGCTTTGAATTATGTCCTCAGCCCTGAAACCTAAGGGGACAGTGCCCTTCCCATTATTCCCTGTGACAAATAAAGGGCTGTTGTTATTCCCCACCAGGATTTCCAATAGTAGGCCAATATTTTAGGTTACAGCAATTTCGGGTAAACAAATGGGAGTTGTATAAGGTAAAGTAGCCTGAAACCACCTTCCTACCCATAATAAAATCAGTTTCAAAGAAGGCTGGAAGATTAAAGTGCTTTTCTCTGCCTTTAAAATGGGGAGGGAGGTTTCATTTTTAGGTATGAAGACAAGACCCTGAAAACAAACAGCCAGGCCTAGGACGAATAGATCAGGAAAGATACAAACACACAGAAAATCAAAGGCCCTGAAACTTTTTACCACAGCAACTGTGATGTTTCATCCTGGGTCCATTTCAGCAGACCCAATGAAGTTTCTTTGGCTACAAAAGATTACATGAGAGCATAAAACAAATTCTGAAGGTTTGGGTTCTCTCTCCCATCTTCCCCCCACCCCACCCCCGTGTGTGTGTGTGTGTGTGTGTGTGTGTGTGTGTGTGTGAAAGAGAGAGCAAGAGAGAGAGAGGGGGAACACAAGAACAACAGGCTTAGAGACTAGTGTTGCAGAAAGCAAAATTTTCCTTGTTTCCATTACATCATCCAAGTTGGAGACGGGGAGGGCGGAGTGGGGGCACAGCTGGTGGCAGCTGCACCACCATCTGCTTTCTCCTTAGCAGTGTGTGCTAGTTTGAGTTGCAGCCTCCTATGGCTCCTGATAGAGGAGGCACAGTATTAAAGGTACAACAGCCTATTATGAAAAGCTTTCAAATTATTTAGAAATAAATCACTCTTATGGTAAGTTAACCTCAGGTAGGTTGCTAAGCCAAAGTTCTCTTTGAGTTTAGGCTATTTGTTTGCATCTCTTTAGACTCAGCTATAGTGCAAACTCTGTCAACTCAATGTGCGCAATTAGACAAGTAGAATATACAAGCAACCACCTGCCATCTGCTTCCCAAAAGGTAAGCAGCCAAAAAAAGCATTAACAGAAGGACTGGGGAATGCCCAACCCTAGCAGGCAAGCTCTGGAGTTTGGTATCCTAAGCCATCTGGACAACCAGTCTTGTCCTCTTGGACACTCATGGGGTTTCCTTCAGAATACACTGCCTGGCATCCCTTCTAGAAGGGGAGATGGGTGAGAATAGGCTGGGGAGAGAGAGGTTAATGCCCTGTCTGTCATTCAACTGCAAAAGGGCAATGGAGCTGCAAACAGGTGGTCTGATTAAACCATACACATATTTTATCTAGTCTCTACAGGGTTATGTTAAAAAGAAAAAAGTGCTGACTTTTCAAAATGAGTTTTCCTATATAAACATCTAGATTGCTATCTCTTCCTGGGGGAGGGAGGGGAATTAAGCTATATGGCATCAGCAGACCTCTTTTTCAGTTATCTGGGGTTAAGCAGCTGCACTTTCTTCCACTAGTGATGCGTTCTGAAGAACGTGCCCTCACACTAGTGTCTCAAATGCCATTGCATCTATCTATGTTCCACTTGGACCTAGAAAGCTTTTGATATAATGTCTCTGAGCATGGAGAGGAAGAAGAAATCCCAAAGGAATAATTTCCCAACTGTCCTGTATTGATTCTCCTCTTTAGTTGAGAATTCATCCCTTCGATGGCCAACTAAAATTCTGCCAAGATCATTCAACACAACATAATGAACAGATCTAAGTAGAAGGCTAGCTACAATGGCCCTTCGATACAAAAGTAGGTTGCCTTGTTTCAAAGAGGCATTCCAGACCACTTACCATACATCTTGCCTTCATCTGATAAGATGATTTTCCTCCTCCCACAGGGTGGATAGATAGCCAAGGCTTCCTGAAAGCTCTGCTCAATGTCAGGACTCCAGACCCCTTCCGCATCGTTGTCAATTGGCTTATCTGCAGAGTCACTCATCCTTTCCATGTTTTCGGCAGGGCTCTCGCTGCCGCTCCAGCTGCTGGGCTCAATTTTGGCGGTTGGGTTTTCCAAGCCGAAGCCTGGAGCCTTTTCAAGAAAATAAACCTAATAAAGAAATAAAAATATAGTGTGATAAGGATGAGGTAATCACCAATATACTGCTCTTTGCTAGTCTCATTGCACATTCTTCAGTTGACAGATCTGAATAACTGCTAGTGGAAAACATGGGAATTTGAGGCCCAAGTGGATTTTTTTTCTTTATGTATTCATGCTAGGCACTCAATACAGAAACATAATGGCGGACAGCAGCTGTAAAATCTTCCCAAATGAGGGAAAGTTTTCATCTAAGAATAGTATTCACTCTGAGTTGCAAGTTCACAGTGAACCATGCGAAACCATTTACTAAGTGCCTACTATCTACCAGGCGCACTCTGTTCAATAATAATTGAATCTCCATAGCAGAACAATTTTATTCAAAAGAAAATAAAGTAAAACAAAAGATGTCTGCCTCACTGTGGCCATCGACATGGTAACTCTGAAATGTTAAATCATCCCAATATTTGTCATTGAGGTCACCCAGATGCGAGATAGTGGCAGGGTAAAAGGAAGAAAAGAGATTATTTTGTTATCACAAAACTCACTCTACTATGACAGCTGACTTGGACCTGCCAGTCTATGGCATTTCTCTGTGGGACATTGAGCCTGAAGAGTCAGGTCACCTTGCCACTGTCAGCTTCTAGATTGTAACCTTGAAGCAGGGACCAAGTTGTCCCCATTCCTGCCTTCCCTGCAACAGCTACAAGAGGCCAGCACATTTACATAAAGAAATGGTTTACACCTACATGGGCACTTTGGTAGCCTACTCAGAATTCCTGATCTTAAGGAAACCGTGGGGAAGACTTTCATTTCTTTCTCTGTAGCACTGAAGGTTACAGAACCAAAGAAATCTTTCTCAAAGGTTTATTCTCCTTAAAGTATGCATGAAACCTACAGTCTTAAAGGGATAAGCTTTCCACACGAATGTCAAACAGGCACAAACACCCATGTGAAAATGATCTAATCCGGTACCCCGTGCTGTCCACACACTAACATATCAATATTCCTTTGTTGAAAAGGCATCAGATCATTAATTCAAAGGCTTCCCCCCAAAGGGGAGAATTGTTCCTAGCAACTGATCGAAGAAGGGAGATGGCAGGGTCACAGTAGAAAGAGCTTAGTGGGCCCCACCACTCCCTGCCTTCTGTCCCCATCAAATCCACGCAACATTACAATAGAGGCAGCCAGGAGGGGAGCAGGTGCTGGCCCCACCAGGCACCAGGGACTGCTCCATGCTCCAGGGCAGTTACCTGAGAGCCAGCAGCCTGTTTTCTTTCTTTCTCCTCCTGATTGTATCCCTTTCCTATGCCCTCCCCCATCAGTGTATATCAACAGATCCCAGGTGCAGAAACTCTGAGGCACATGAACATTACACAATTAATGGTATAACTAGTGGGTGATTTTGGCTTGGTAACCTGACAGCTTTTGAGATTTGGCAGCACCTGGATAAAAGAAACCCCCAGGTTGTCTGCCTTTAAATGCTGCCACAGATCCATCATTCAAAGAACTTGTCAGCAAAATATTTACTACTTCTTACCAACACATGTACATTGGCACCGGACTTTAAAAACTGCCAAATGTTGAGGTATAAATTATGCCACAAGAAAGGGTTTTGTGATTAACCCCCAGATGAACTCTGCAATGCCTGCAGTGTGGGCCTTTTGAATTCTCAAATTATTACATTTTTTGTTGGAATCTAAGAGTCTTATAAAATTCAAGCTGAGCTGTATGCTCCCCTAGAGTCTGTTCTAGCTCCAAAGCAGTTTGTTAGAGAAATTATGAGAATATAATGAATGCTTTGAGCAGTGGCTAATCCGCTGTCTTCCTCTCCACCTAACCCCCACCCCTATACCCCCGCCACCCCCAAAACAAAACAATAGACATACAAAAACACAGGCCAGTCTTTGAGCTCTGGGCAGCTCAGAGAGCCATATCTATAATAATAAAAGCATAATATGCTAATTAGTCCAGACGACCTTCCAAAAGAAGCTGGGGCTGCAAGGGAAGCCCAGGTCCTGGGTACTGGCAGAGGAAGGTTTACTCTTGCACGAATTTCGTACATCGGGCCTCTAGTTTTAAGATAAACAGCAATGTACTCAGCATGCAACCCCTATAGTAGAGGGACAGAATCCAGGACAGTGAGGGCCAGCAAAGGGACTGGGGAATTTTACTTGCCTAAAAAGAACATCACCACATCACTGAGCGCCTCAGTGTCTTCAGACCAAACTCCCCAACACTTCCCTAGTCCAATGCTTGCAGTCCCCTCTAACACTTCTCAACTGGTCATATGATTTATATATGAACATCACCAATGACAAAAAACCCACTACCTCCACACTGACATGTTGAAATTCCTCCATCTACTAGGCCAAAACCCATGTACAGGTTAACTTCTATACCAACCCATCCCTTGCAGAAGCAAATCTCCCACCCAAACACCCATTTATATGTAACAGGAGCAGCCCTATTGTAACTTGGATTAGACATAATTCACATAATACCTGGCTCAGCCCTCATGAATGCATCCCAGTTTGTCCATGGCCCTCATTAAATGATGCTCAGAGATGGACTAGGCCCCACAAAACCTCTAGGCTCCCACACTTCAAGTGCTATTCCTGATTTCCCTTCTCTAGTGTAACTGGTTTAGGAGCTAAAGGCAGGGGGTTATTTGTAAATCCATTATTTTAGCCTACATGGCTGAAAGCTGGTAAGATTTTATTGAATCATAATTGCAAGCTTAGTGTTCTTAGACACTGAACATCCTCTGAAGAGCTGGCTGTCACATAGAGAGGGTGCTGACCCATTCTGTGGAAGTTTTAAGATGATTCCAGCTCAACGTGAGAAAAAGTTCCTGCTAGTTGAGCTGTTCAAAAAGGGCTGGGCTGGCTGCCTTAAAGACGAACAGCAGAGTCTTGTAGACAATCCCTTAAAGTAACCTCTAAAGCTGGGAGTCACAAGCCCTTGGATGTTTGGGGAATGCAGTATTAGCATTAATTGATCCATCCACTTAGTGAACACAGGCACTTTCTAAATGCTCTTTTTTTTTTTTTTTTTTTTTTTCATTTACTGCAAAGGGAAGAACTCTGTGTTCAGGCCCTTGCAATTTGGTCAACTGGAGCTCAGCAGGATGGAATTACCTACTCTGGACAAGGGCCAGGACACAAACCCCAGAAGCTACCAGATACATAATCCACAGAGTTATACAGGCCCTTGGTTTTACAACCCAATTGTAAGATGAGGCCCTGTATGGGCAGAGAGTTTCCAATCACAAGACTGGGGCTGGCTGAGAAAAGCTCCCCGTACTGGATACTGAAATAACCATTCTGGCATTCTATCCCTCAGGTCCCTTCCAAACCAGCTCAAAATCCACCTCATCCTGGAAACTGTCCTTGTATCTAGTGGCTCAGAGTATCAGCCACACATTAGGAGTGTCCTAAAAATGTGTGGCATTGGTTAAGTACCACCCAACCTACCTGGTTTCCACATACACAGCAAGAATCACCTGCTTATTACAAATAATAAGATCTAATCAAGTGAATTATGCATAGAATATCTGTGCCTGTAGAGCTGATGTCCACCTCCTCATCCCTTTTTTGAGCAAGGGAGTTAACTTTCACACAATTCAGTAAATAAAGAACAACATAGAATTGGGGGGGGGGGGGGAACGGCATGGCATGATATTCAGGCTCAAACTATTCTGGACTCCAAACCTGGCTCACACACTGGCCATGCAGTCCAGAATGAAGTAGTTAATCTCTCAGAATCTCAGATTTTATTTGTAAAATGGAGATAATAAATACAATCCCAACATAGGAAAATCATTAAGGGGTGGAGGGACTCTATCTTACAGGGTTGTCGTAAAGATTTAAAGATAATGAGTGAAGGTGCTCTGTCATCTGTAAACCCATGACCAGATGTTCATTTGTTTTCAAGTCCATTGTTTCTAGACAGTGGTATGTGCCTTGCAGTGCCCAAATACCTACCGATAATGGGATGGTGAAGAAATGAAGGTGCTCTCCTAATAGTTCCCTTTGGGAAATAAAGTTACAAAGATCCTTTAGATTACTAAATAAAAAAATTTAAATTTGTAACAAACCCTTCTATTTCTAATACTTATATAAACCTACACTTATATTCACAGGTTCAATAATTTTCATTATTTTTCTGGGAAGTTTGGTTCAAGGGAACAATCCCAGACCTAAAGGAATGCCTAAAAGGAAAGAAAGAAGGGAACTTTTGTTGCTGAAAATCTACAATATATCATGTAGCCCCTATATGCCTCAATTCCATCATTAACACTTTTCTAGAAGTTCCTCTTTTTTTCTGAAACTCTTTCTAGCCATACTATAATAAACTCCAAAAAGAACTGTTAACAGGCCAACAGCCACACTTCCTAAATGGATCATTATTTTACAACTACCCACTGGCACTCTAAGAAGAGCAACACGAATACCACAGAATGACATCATATGTATATTTGACCAATCCACATTTTTAACTTAAGAGCTGAGGACAGAAGGGGGTGAGAGAGTCAAATACAGGTGCTTCTGACACCAACTCTATTCACAGAACTTATGAACAAAGGATATGACAGAGGACCCAGGAATCTGCTGCTCCATCTTAATTCCTGTGGATCCCTCATAATGCAAGCATCTCACCCACTCGTGGGTGATTTAAGAGCTTTTAAATAAAAGGGTTAGTTTTAACTCTCATGATTCATGAAATGCCACTGAACATGAAGGTCACACACAAAATCATACGCTTTGTATTAGCCCATGTCTTAACACTCGTTGAGGCAAAAGGAAAGGAGCTGGACTAGGAATTAGGACTCTGTCTTTATTTAAGTAACCCAGGACCATGTGGTACTTGAGTGTCTCAGTTTCCATCATTAACACTGAGGAGGCCAACTTAATCATTCATCCCCTTGTAGTTCCATAGACTCAACTAATAGAACTCAGTATGCTGGTTTATTACTGCCCCCCACCCATTCACACTCCAGTGTCCCTGAG